AAAGGTATTACAAGGAACTATAGACAGAAGGAAATAATGAGCTACATGAAAAGAGCAACAGAAATACAGGAAGTGATATTGCGGAGTTTCTCACCGAGGAAGATGACATAAAAAGGGTCTTAAAACAATTCCATGATTCACCTATTGGGGACACCAAGGTGTAGGGAAAACTTGTCTTAAAATATGAAGACAATACAAGTGGGCTGGAATGCAAAGACAAAGTTTGTATTACGTAAAGTCCTGCGTATTATGTCAGAAAAACAAGGCTTCAAGAGTGGATAAAGTGTCTTTGTTTTAACAAATATTCCACACAGACCGTTTGAAAAAGTTTTTATGGACAAAAACGCCTAGGGGGAATAAGTGGATCTTGACTTTTCAAGACGATTTTTCTAAATATATTTCGTGCACACCCCTTCCAAATGGAGAGGCGGCCACTGCAGCAAGAGTATATTTCAATGAAGTAATAGCAAGATTTCAGATTCCCCGAACTTTTATAACGGATAATGGATTAAATATTAATTCAAAATTGTTTAAAGAAGTGTGTAAATTGTTAGGGATAAGAAAAATAAATACCACACCTTACCATCCGCAAGCGAGCGGATCATTAGAAAGAAGTCACCGACCACTTGGCGAGTTCTTAAGGAATTTTGTAAACATCGACGAAACCAATTGGGATGAGTGGATGCATCATGCGATGCATATTTACAATAACTCGGTGCATTCAGCGACAAAGCAAACACCTTCGCGAACATCGATTTTGATGTGCCAGTGAATTTCAAAAGGAAACCTGTACCTCTGTATAATATAGATGATTGTGCCAAAGTATTGAAGTACCAAATACAGAGATCATATGAAGTAGTAAAGAAAAACCAAAAAAGGGCAAGGGAAAAGGCAAAAGTATACCACGACAAACATACTAGAAATCGACTATTCAATATTGGAGATAAGGTATGTTTAAAGAATCAAGGTAGAAAACATAAGTTATCCCTTTTGTGGATGGAACCTTTCGAAGTCGCAGCAATACCGAGTCCAATGAATGTAAAGATTTTAATAAGAGGACGGAAAAAAGTATTTGATTCTAATTTAGTGAAGCTATCCAATTATTAGATAATTTAAAGACTAGGATAAGTATTAGATGTAGGAGACAAGGTATCAAAGAAATCAAAGAATATTAATTAGGTGATATATATAAATAAGAAATAATAATAATAATAAAAAGTTCTAAAAAGGAAAAACAAATGATTTTACAATTCGAATAGAACTAATGTGGAAAAAATATAATAAACTCACAAAATAACTTTTTCAACAGTTAATACTGCTTCCTCTACTCATTGGGTCAGTAATTGATTACGGAAAGGCTGAGTTATATGTAGAAAAAATTGAAACGGAAACTGGTTATATGGAAATTAACGTAGAAAAAGCAGAAATTGTACATAAGTATAACTACATTCTACATACAGTCAACCCATACGAAATAAAGAACCTGCTGGGAAAACTTTATAAATCAGTAAACGACATTATAAAAAATAAGAACTACAGAGCACTGGTAGAAACAGAAATTATCTAAACCGAGAATATGTTGCATACGTTAATGCCACATAGGTTAAAAAGGAGATTACTAAATGCTGGAGGACGTCTACTCAGTTGTGCGTTTGTAACTTTAGATGATAAGGATAAATCTACCATCGAAGGGCATTTGGTAGCATTAGAGCAGAACAATCATGAACTGATCATAACTGAAAATCAAGAGGTTAACATAAATGACAGTTATAACAAAACTTTGGAGAAACTAAAGAAAGTGATACAGAACGACTGGGAACTTATAAGAAACAATGTAAAGAGAGATTTATTAGACGAAAATTTGGCAATATCACAGCTATTTACTATTACGAGTCTCCGAAGGCAAGTTGAACGAATACAAAAAAACGTTGTTTCGGCAAAATCGGGAGTGATACAACCAAACATTTTGAACCGGGAGAAAATACAGAAGTTCGATATTGGTTTCGAAAAACTGAGGCAAGTTAAACTAGGAACGGCAACGTTTAAGGAGAAGTCAATTGTATTCGTAATAAAAGTACCAGGAGAGACATTAAGGGTAGAGAAACGGTTAATAGTTCCTATACCAAATGCTAAAGGAAATCAAATAAATACAGCGTTGGAAACAACAGTAGAGATAGCTGGTAAGCGAAGGTGATAAATCAGTTTTTGAACTAAAGTTAAGCGCTACCTGTATTTTTACTGGAAAGTGTGCAGTAATAAGAATTACAGAGGAGAAGGTTATCGAAGTGTAGAGCGATATGATAATTCTGACGTACAAAAAGGCAAATTAAATAGTACTTGTGATCAGAGAAGATTAACACTGAATGGAAATTATTTTCTGACTTTAAGTAATTGCTCCATACAAGTTAATAGTTTAATTTTACAGAACCAAGTGCTAAAAACAGATCAACTGCTTGTTTTACCACCAAGCAATACAGAAAATATTAAACAAAAAAACCAATCATTAACATTTGAGGACATTATCTGGAGATAACAGGATAACCTAAAAAAAATAGAAGAATTACATTTCCATGGGAAAACTATAACAACAGCAATGACAATATCGGTAGCAGCAGTTATTATTTTTTCAACGTTTATGTATGTACTATACGTGAAATTAAATAAACGTACTTTAAATGAGTCAGAAGCACCATCCCTTCAAAGATCACCGAGTCTGCAGTCGGTGATAAGAAATTATCCGCCACCTCTTTCTACGCAAAGTACACCAACACAATATACACACTCATATATAACACAGGTATCATCAATTCTTACACCGCCTCTTTCACAAAATACGGTTCAGTTTACAAATGCATACACTGCACACCCTACACCAGCACCACCGCTGCCGGTACAATTAAACAGCAATTATTCAGCGTCATTAACAACTTTCTAATACCGTCAAATGACGGCCGACCAAAACCATTTCTTTTTCCATATTCTTCACAAATTCAATATAATAAAAACACATCAAGTCAAAATTTTTCTCTCTTTATTTATAACAAACGTAGTGTTTTACATTTTTTTAGGACGGTATTATCCGATTTATTTTTTTCGGGGATATTAGTTTCCGTTTAGCCGAGGGATACAGGATTTCATCTATATCTGTATTATAGCTAATACTGTGATAGGCATTTCCTGTTTCTTCATTAGCTGCTACATCCTTCGTGGTTGATTGAGTGAAATCTTCTTCAGTAGGTGGACGAAGCAATTTTGTTATCCACACAGCGGTTTTCCTGTTTAGCTCCTCATCTTCCGAATCATCGGAGGAGCGACATAGAGAGTAATAGTAATCGGCCTGACTCATGCTAGCGGGTGAAAACATTTTGAGGTAATATTTTAAAACACCACACAATATATAGTAAAAATATCAGAATAAAGGGGATAAGAATAATTACGTAATTTTTATGAAGACTTGACATTCTTAATAACCTAAATAAATTTTTACATTTTTAAGTAGAAGAGGAATAAGAGTGGATGTATGCCCAAAATAATAAATATTTTTTGTAATAAGCAAATTCGTAATAAAATTTTTTTATGTAAAACTTATAATAAGCAAGATTGTATAAAAAGAAAGAATAAAACACTTTTTTTTTAAAAAATAATTGTAAAACTTGTAATTAGCAAATTTGACATTTAGTAAGATAGAATATAAGATAGAATTATTCAAGGAGACTTGGAAGAGGAGAAATTCAAGGAGTTGTGGGCCAGTATGGACTAGGTGAAAGAAATTATAGAGGAGATCGACTAATACAATTCTGTCAAGAATATAAATTAAAGATTTCAAATACTTTGTTCAATCTACCACCTCATAGACTATATACTTGGAAATATCCATTGGACACTCCTGATAACATTATCAGAAATCAAATAGAGTGCATCCTAATTAGTGATCGTTTTTGCTCTTCAGTTAAGAAAGTTACAACTTACCTGGGCGCAGATGTATCATCTGATCATAATCTTCTAATGGCGAAAATTTACATAAGATTAGCATCAAATCGCAAAAAGAAACCAAACCTTAAAGTCAACTTAAAAAAACTAAGAAATGATGACATAAAATGTTCATTAAAAAATAAAATAAATCAGCGCATTAGTAGTATTGATTCTAGAAACCCAAATAATATATGGGAACAACTCAAGACAACGATTATATCTTCATCGAAAGAAACTCTTGGATCATATAGGAGAGAAATAAAAAATCATTGGATGACCGAAGATATAGCGAAATTAATAAATGAACGTCGTCAGTATAAAAATACACAACAAGATCTATATTGGCAATTAAACAGAGACATCAGAAGTAAGATCCGTATAGCAAAAACAGTTTGGGTAAGTAACGAATGCCAAGAAATTGAACGATTACAATCACTACATGATGACTTTAATCTCCACAAAAAACTGAAACAGATCGCAGGAATTTACCGAAAAAACTCTACTTCATTTCTCATTAGTGATGATAACGAAATAGTTTTTGACATAAATGAAAAGAAACGAATTTGGAAAACATATATTGAAAACGTTTTTTCTGATAGCAGTTAAGAAAGCTATACAATCGATGAAAAACAATAAAGGAACTGGCCCAGACGAGATTCCATCTGAAATTTTGAAATTAATTGATAAAGAAAATACTAATCTATTAGTAAAATTGTTTATTCATGTATACGATACTGGACAATATCCCGATGACTGGGTAAAATCTACCTTCATAACACTGCCTAAGAAGAAAAATGCAAAAAAATGTAGTGAATACAGACTTATCAGCCTTATGTCACATGCCATAAAAATATTTCTAAAAATTATGCACGGCAGAATATACAAAAAATGCAAAGAAGTAATGGGAAAATCGCAATTTGGTTTTAAAGAAGGACTTGGAACTCGGGAAGCACTATTATATATTCAAGTTTTAATTCAAAACTGTAAAGACGTTCACAAAGACGTTTTTCTCTGGTTTATTGATTACGAGAAAGCGTTCGACAACGTGAAACATGATAAACTTATAGAAATTCTTCAAAACATTAATATTGATGACAAGGAAATCCGATGCATTAAAAATTTGTACTGGCAACAAACTACGCATGTAAACATCGATGGTGATATAACAGAAGGGATATCAATTTCACGAGGCGTTAGACAGGGTTGCATATTGTCGCCACTGTTATTCAATGTGTACTCAGAAAAAATATTTGAAGAATCCATTAGCGAATTTCAACAAGGTGTGAAGATAAACGGCATTTTCATTAATAACATCAGATACGCGGATAACACCGTTCTTATTGCCGACAGTGTTATGTAGGCCTGTGAGGGAATAAAATATTAATACCACAAGTAATAATAGTCAAATAATCTGACATTACCTCGGAATTCCCCACGACGTCCAGTGAACTATATACCCGTCGGCGATCTCCTCTTTATGTTGTTGTGCCATTAAGGCAGAAAAGTCTTCAAATGTTTGTAGTTCTGCATGTCGTTTAAAACTGAGGCGTCGAAATTCGGTATCTAACTGTGATTACACTTATTAAAATAATTTTTTTTAAAGAAAAATTAAAACTTTAAAATTAAATAAAAGTAGAAATAAAAATTAAAATGAAAAAACACTTAAATAATTTAACAAAAAAAAACATCACATCATTTCTTTATAAACAAACAATTCAACGTGCATTGTACGCACGCTATCAGTAAAAAAAAAATAAAAGAAAAAAAACAAAAGTGGTAACTAAAGAAATGTGTGAAAGCTTTTGTTTCGGTTTGTTTTGATCTAGATCATTGAAGGCGAATTATGTCGAAAGCTACAATGAAGTTTGACGTAATATAGCATTGCCAAGTACCAATAAAACCTATATAATTTAAGCTTTATTGGAAGTGAAAAATAAAGTAAGCTTTCTTAGAGGTCATCACCCTAAAACAAATAAATAAACACAAAACAAAAACCAGCAAAGCCAACGAGGAGAGTGGTGAAAAATTTCCAAGAGCGTAAACAAAGCGGTAAACAAAGAGTTAACAGGATCACTAACGCGACAGGAGGATTTTTCAGTTAGGCAAACTAACTATAAAATAGCCAGCGGAAGCTTGTTTCGGTCTCTTTTTTTTGTATTTTTCGAGTACGGCAAGTGGTGCATTTCGGATCATTAAAAACCGATAAAAGAAAATTTTAAGACAGTTTATTAAAAGTTGTAAAGGCTGAAATTTCTATAAAGCAATTTCAACCATACATAAATTCTTGTGTAAATCTGACGTCAGACCGTCAGCCTAAAACACAACACCATCACCATGGACTATTCAAATAAAGAACCCAACTCACCCCTACAAGATCAGCATGTAACCTGAAAAGAATAAAATTTATTTTATTACTTAACAAGATGGTAAGACAATAACATTACCTGCAATCCAGGCGTTAATAAGCCGCGGATAAGACTAATAAACAAAACTGAAGAAGAAGAAGAAAAAAGAAAATTAATAACAACAAACCAACAAAACACAACTTGAAAACATGAATTTTGAATTACAAATAATCATACATTGAACAATTATTAAACAATAAAACACACTTTATATCTTTATTGAATAAAAATGAATTTAAAGAAATAAAACAAACACTCATTGTTTACATTTTTACAATAGAAAAAAAAAACAACACATCAGTAAAAAACCCACTGCTGCCGTAAATTCTTCGTTTGGTTTATTTTTCCACTATATGTAGTAAAACACAAAATTATAAACACTATATCAATTATTAATCATATATGTTTTTTTAACATAAACAAACTATCATACAAAACAATAATTACAATCAGACACTTGCACTAATTCTCCTACCGCAATATCACGCACATATTTATATCGTTGGGGTTTTATTTTATTTATTAAATAATGGAAGTTATAATTAATTGAATTAAATTGAAAACTAACACTTTATGGTGGTTTTAAATTTTAATTCTCTTTCCGAAATAAATCAAAAGACGCGAAATATGTCAAACATAAAAGTCAGGCGAAGAAAAGTGCGCAAAAATGCAAATAACACGAAGTACACGACAATACACAAAATACACAAGAAAGACACGAAAAGCACAAAAAGTCAACACGAACAACGAAGTTTACCGGTACGCTACACCGAAAAGCTCCGGTCAATTCGGTATATAAGAACGCGCATTTTACAGAACGAGGAACTTGTCTCTTGGAGCTCAAGCGATTTACAAGTTCACTGGTCAATTCGATCAACACTAGATTACAGGCTACTTCAGTCTAACTGGTCAATTCGATCAAAAATAGGAAACTGGTCAATTCGATCAAAACTAGATTACAGGCTTCTTCAGTCTAACTGGTCAATTCGATCAAAGTAGGAAACTGATTTTCATTTAATTTTCTCTTTGATCATTCAGCCAAATTATTACATCCCTTAGTACAAAGGCAGGAGTCTTCATAACAAATAAGCCAGAGCCAGTCGCCGAAACATCGTCATCTTTGACAGCAACTGATCTTATGTATAATTCATATACTGAGGTGACATAAGTCCACCCCTACGGAATAGTCACGCGCGGAAATCATAAATTTCTCCGATCCTTGGAAAATAATATTTTGTTTATCTGAATTGTAACCATTATAATTTAATAATATAATTCTTATAATATATATATAATAATATTTTGTTTATCTAAAATTATACCCATTATAATTGTTTTGTTTTTTTGAATAATTAAATAAAGTATTAATAAAATATATAAAATCTACGCTTTTATTTTGGTTCCTAAAGAAACTAGTCCCGAAGATATAAATTTTATTATAACGAACCTGGACAACCGCTTTGCATACCTCAGCAAATATAACGAACGAAAAAAGGTCGTTACAATTGGCGCCCGAGCAGGGACTGAGTTTCAAAAGGGACTGAGTTTCAAAAGGGACTGAGTTTCAAGGGACTGAGTTTCAAAAGGACTGAGTTTCAAAGGACGGAGTTTCAAAAGAACTGAGTTTCAAAAGGACGCAGTTTCAAAAGAACACAGTGTAAAAAAAACTGAGTATCAAAAGGAAATCAAGCATGTCTATAGAACATAAAACAAGGGTCGACATTGGCGACCAAGAACTTCGAAGACCTACCACGCCGAGTAAATCCTGGTTGTACAACTTACGGAAAGATGAATTAATCCACTACTTGTCCGAAATGCAACTAGAAACGAGTGGATCCGTAGAGGAATTACGAAAAAGACTAGCAGCATACATCGACGAAGAAGATTATGACATGGTCCGGAGAGAAATGCTATGGGACCTTGCGCGTAAACATACAAAAACAATACCGATCACACAAGAACTAAATAACGATGTACAAATAACAATTCCACCTGTTACACAAACTATAGAACAAGTCCGGAAATGGTCTGTCAAATATGACGGAGGCAAAGACCCGCTGATGTTCATCGAACGAATCGAGGAGTTGGTGGAAGCCCATGGATTAAACATTAACACAATACCACGTACCATGCCAGAACTTTTGAAGGATAAAGCATTAAATTGGTATAGAAGTAATAACAGCCAGTGGAAATTATGGACCGCTTTCAAAGCTGACTTTCTCAAGTTCTTTCTACCGGCAAGATACTTTGAGAAGTTAGAAGATGAAATCCGGGCCCGCCGTCAGAGGTCACGGGAGACATTCAAAGACTATGTTGTAGCAATCCAAACTCTAATGCGACACGCAGATATAGGAGCCGTTGCTCAACTAGAACGAATCTATCGAAATGCACATCCGGACTACCAGCTTTATATCCGACGACGAGACTTCGAAACATTGGGAGAACTAATCGACATGGCTGGTGATTACGAAGCTATACGGGGAGAACAAGAGAAAACCGGACCTCCAAGGCTAAGAGAGGAAAGAAACCACCTAGTCCAATCTTTCGAGCAGAGAATCCAAGACACACCAAATGCGTGCCGAAGGTGTGGGAAATTGGGACATATGGCAAGAATCTGTCGAAATCCAATAATTCTTTTTTGTTGGATCTGTGGAAAACTGAACACACGAACCCTTGACTGCTGCAAGGAAGATCCGGGAAACGAGATAAGAGGACGACCAACAGTGGGGAAGCCGTTCTCTCGAAATTTAGGCCCCGCAAGGACTTAAGACTAATCCACGTAAACGAAACTCGAATTACGGCACAAGTTCAGCCACAACAGACTTCTACACAAGTAACAATGTCGCCAGCTCATGTTTCCTCACCATTGACACTATCTACGTCTCAACAGCAACAACCACAAACTCCTTCAACTCCATCACATCATCTAAATAGTATTTTGAATGAAACAGCTAATTCTAATGATTCCTCAACACTAGCAGTTGCAGCCAATGACAGCAATAACAGTAATAACAGTAGCAGTAATAGTTCAACAAATAGTATTGTAAATAATCAACCAACGATGCCATTACAGAATACAATGAGACTCATATCCATGACGCCAGTACGAGTTGAAGATATCCATAGTCTAGGCCCGGTATCACCTGTCCGGAACCAGCAGCAAAGTAACCAACAACATAACCAGTCGATAGATAAGCAAACAACAGCAGAAGTAAATAAAATTGCAACTTCAAAGACAGCATCACTATCCAAGCCAAGTATAATACAAAGCACACAATGTCGAATTTACCCAGACAAGCATTTACAAGAGCAAGCGCCATGTAAATGCCTCGTACCACCATCGCATGATCCAAAAGCAAACAAAGAGATACAAGAGTTCCAAATCCCAGAAGCACAACGTCAGCGAAATTTAAAACATATCGAA